AATCAAATCTTACAAATATAAGTTAAAGAGCAAAAACAATGGAACATAAAAGCAGAGAGGAAGAGTCTATAACTGACCGACCTTGTGAATCACAGTAATACAAATGTTGCATTCTTCACTCACCTATGTGAATGACCTTGAGATACCACTGAAATAAAAGCTCTGGCCACAATGTATATCAAGGAAGTCTTGATGGTTGACTCAGTAAATTACTCACTTACCACGCAGTTTACTGAAGTGGAAAACACGCACTAATAACAGCGAGCTTGTAGAGATCTTGTAGCAGTACTTATTAACTTTATTGTGTCTAGTAAGATGATTTTTATGTAATTGTTTTAACCTGTTTCAACACAAGTTAAGCTTCCTTAATTTAAAAATGATTCAGTATAACTTATAGTAAAGAGAGATTCAATCCACTCTAAATATCCTCTTTACTGCCTCAGTTCTAGTGTGTCAATTTTTTTTAATCTTTTCACAATGAAAAGTTTTATACATAGTGTACCACGAGCATCATTGTCTCTTATCACTAGTAAGGCCTCCATAAGGTCGTTCTGATCGTGTTCTCTGGTTTCTCGCGTTTAAGGTCTACCTCACTACATGATTACGCTCATCCTTGCCACAGCTCTGAGTGCTTCTAAGGATTTTATAAGCGAAACACAAAGCGTTACTCTTCATGATTCCATCCCTTGCATCACGAAAATATTTCTATCCGCCTCTTACCATCTCCGCTCTGAACTATTGCTGATGTTGTATATTAATCAACTCATTATTTATCACTGATATTTTCGGAAAATAAGAATATGAGATGCATGGTAACAAATCAGTTTACAAGTGAAAACACTAAAAAAAAAGTCACAATGGAAAATAACAAAATCAGATTTCTAAATCATATTGAGAGTGTAACTGAGAGCACGAGCGATGAGAGGAGATGGAGAATGGCCGGGAGAGGAAGCGTGACAGAGAGGGAGCATGGCTGAGAGAGAGAGCATAGCCGGGAGAGAGAACCAACCCGTTTTCGCACTTTCTTACAGTCAATATTGACTTATTAAATACGTGCATATGTGACCTACTAAACATACTAGTTTACCTTGAAAAGCTTCACAGAAAACACCGACCTTGCCTAACCTTCTTAGTATGTTAAGATAAGCATGTTATTGCTTCGTAATTACAATTATTACTTAACCTATACCTATAATAGGTTAAGTAATAATTGTAATTACGATGCAATAAGATGCTTATCTTAACATACTAAGAAGGTTAGGTATGGTCGGTGTTTTCTAAGAAGCTTTTCAAGGTAAACTAGTATGTTAAGTATGTCACATATGCACGTATTTAACAAGTCAATATTGACTATACGAAAGTGTGATAACGGGTTGAGGGAACATATGGTAGGGAGAGGCAACATGGCGGCGATATGAAATAGCAAAATGCTTCAGGCATGTGAAGGAATGGGAGCGTGTCAGAGAGAGAGAGAGAGATTATTAGTAGTGTAAACGGGGCCTATTGGGTGCTAGTTTGATTGTTTCGACATCACCTCGTAGGTCCACTAAAACTTTCCGTGAATAATGTCGACCGTACCTCGTAGGCCTACTAAAATACTCGATTAATGATGTCAACAGGACCTCGTAGCCCACTAAAATATTCCGGGAATGACGTCGACAGCACCTCGTAGGCCCACTAACATATTTCGTGAATGACATCGACATCACCTGTTAGGACCACCAAAATATTCCGTGAATGACGTCGACAGCACCCGGTATGCCTGTTAAATTTTATGTGAATAACATTGAAAACCACTCGTAGGCCCGTTAAAATATTCCATGAATGACGTCATCAGCAACTCACTATATTCTTTTGTGAATAACGCCGACAGCACCCTATTGGCCCACTAAAATATTCCGTGTATGACGTCGACAACACCTTGTAGGCCCACTAAAATATTTCGTGAATGACATCAACATCACCTCTTAGGCCTACCAAAATATTCCGTGAATGATGTCATCAGCAGCTCGAAGATGTATTAAAATATTCCGTGAATGACGTCGACAGCACCCCGTAGGTCTGTTAAATATTCTGTGAATGACGTCGAGAGCAACTCGTTGGCCCGCTAAAATATTCCATGAATGATGTCGACAGCACCTCACTATATTCTCTGGTGAAAAACGTCGACAGCACCGTATAGGCCCACTGAAATATTCCATGAATGACGTCGACAGCACCCCATAGGCCTGTTAAATATTCCGCGAATGACGTCAACATCACTTCGTATTCCAATAAAGTATTTCGTGAATGACGTCGACATCACCTCGTAGGTGCACAAAAATATTCCGTGAATGGCGTCGATAGCACCCTCTAGGCTCACTAAAATATTGCAAAACAAAGTGGACTGCTGATTTAATACAGCCCCAATAAACAATACAACCATCTGCAAAAAACAAACTTTGTATACAAATTTACATGCCACAATGAAGGATGTCATCCCCGATCTAATATTGGCATGACCACCACAAAGCTTCCGAGAAGAATGACCTGCCGTCAACAAGCTGGAGCCCCTGGAAACCATATTACGAAAACTCCTTTTTAGCTTCCTTTCTCCACTCCACCTCCACTTCTACATACCAACACTCACTGTTGGCTTCCTTACCAACATTCCATGTTGGCTTACATATCAATATTCCCTGTTGACTTTCTTACCAATACACCTTTTTTAGCTTCCTTATAGCACTCCCCCCAGTTGGCTTCCTTACTACAACTCAACCTGTTGGCTTCCTAATCAGCACTCCCTTTTGGCTTCCTTTTCAACACTCCCCTGTAGGCTTCCTTACCAACACAATTCCGGTTGGCTTCTATACCAACACGCCCTGTAGGTTTCCTTACTAACACTCCCTGCATGCTTCCTTACCAAAACTTCGCCCTTTAGGCTTCCTTACCAACAATCTCCCAATTGACCCTATCAACACTCAATCTGTTAGCTTCTTTACCAAACTCCCTGTTGACTTCTTTACCAACACCTTTTTTATTATTAACATCTTTATTGACAAAATTTAATTATAGTTTTGCCTAATCTGAAGATTTCAATTAAGCCTTATTAAATTAAGGATAATGCTGGTATTCACTGTCATACAGGACAGAGGGTCATACACAAGACAATAGGTCTAAATTGTATGCTGAAGCAGATATATAATATCATGATTACAGTCATTGTTTTAATGTATGAATATGTAAAATCAACTTTCTATTGTGCACTGCCACACAAGGCAGAGATGGGTTTATAAGAGATGCATCCTAAAAAAATTAAATAAAATTGTTCTTCATTCTTAAAATACCCAAGCAAATTTTGAATAAATTGTTACGATGTCGTCCAGTAAACCAGATTAAATGAAATAGTTACACAGTGGGTGGTACAATAGGCCAGGAGGTCTAAAATCTTTTACGTCTTCACATACAACAATATTGTGTTCTAATGAATGTATTAAAGGTTTGTCACTGAGTTTAGAATCTGAATATTCTGGTAGTAGCTCAGCCTGACTAACCTGCCAGATATGCCTATAGATAAGGCGAATTCGCGTAATGACTACATCAAATTGCCTGGTCCGGTTACTGCGCTGACCATACAAATACCTATTATTACAAAAGTTGTTATATCTTTTAATACTGCAGCTTTCAAGTCACTGGGCATTTCTTAGTTCTTATAAATCTTAATTAATTTCTTTAATTTGTATGTTTCTAATAATTGCATTAGATAATCCAAAGTCATAATCAGTTTTTTTCATTTCTGCAAGCGTCATTAGCCAGTTGATATACAAAGTTATGTTTTCCAACTCCTACATGGGATGGGATCCACACCAATTTTATACAATAGTTATTATCATCGGCAAAAATTACATTACATTTAATATTACAAGCTACTTCAGACATAAATTGTGATGGGTTATTTAAGGACTGCAGAACACTTTTAGAATCACAGAATATCACTCCACCACCATTGAGCTTAATGCAGTCAGTGGCCAGATAAATACCCAATAGCTCAGTCCGTGTCGTGCTTGACCAGTTGTCCAATCTCTGTGTACTAGTCATGATCATTTCATTCCCATTATATATTGCACATGCACAAACTGTTCTACCAGTGCCTTATTGTACAGAGCCATCATTAAAGGCATAGGATTCAGTTGATTTGAGATTTTGAAGAAGACTGTCAATAGCTTTTAATGTTATACATCTCATATTTTCAGTGTTATACATATCTTTGATATTGATGTGGGTATAATGAAAAGAGACCTGAACATCTTTCCAAGGGGGAATATAGTGAACATTTTTATCAGGATTAAGAGGCACATCCAGTTTCATAAGAATAATGGCACATCCACTGAGCCACACACAGTAACGAGTTTTTTTGCGGCGGATTCAGGGAAGTCAAAATTGTTTAGAATGGATCTGAATTTAATATGAATGGAGCAGGAGGGACCATTATTTTATAAAGTTTAATAAATAAAAAATAAACAGGAATTAACAAAAAATTATTTTAGCTTTCTTTGTAAATCTCATTAAAGTGTATTCCCAAATTCGCCAGAATATCTAGAATATACTATAAACTACTTACAACGTCTAGCACTAGTTGGTATGGCGTTATGTTTAAGGCATTTAAACCGCAGATAGGTTATTAAAACTCCAACATGAGATTACCTGACAACCACTAAACATATTTCAGTCTTGAGCATACTCAAGGACCAAGGTCAAATATTCGTGCACATATTGAATATTGTGAGACGCCTTTTGGTGTATATTTAATACTTGCTAAGATTAACATGAAATTGTAAAAGGTGCATTCTCTTATCGAGAAGTAAAACATATTCATATATTTAATATTTGACATTTAACAAGGGAATTTTAATTATTAACTTAAAAGAAAACCTTATTAAAATAAGGATTTTATTATATATTTAATTATTTAATATAATAAAGAAATAAGAAACAATAATAATTTTATATTTCTCAGTGGAACGTCATTATAACCTCGAGTTACAGTTCAAGGACTCAGGACTCTCCCGTATAAAAGCACCGGCATCACTGCTGCAAGACACACTCACTCAGCTGTGGCCACAGCTAACCAACGTTCAGTCATGAAGCTCTTGGTAAGTTGCACTAACAATCGGACTCTCTTATATTGGTTCATATTTATTATAATGCATTATATTTAATATCAAGGAAAGTGGTGGTATTTTTAAAGAATATTTCGTATACGAGAACTGCAATACAGTACTTTACTGCAAAATATTATATGACTATACGTGTAATTTTTCATATTTAGGTGTTTGTGATCCTGGCGGCTGCCGCTTGCGCTTCTGTGATTGAGAAGCGAGATGCGGAGCCCAGTTACGGGACGAGCAATTACGGTAGTGCTTACCCACCATACAGTCACCGTTACCACAATGGAAAGAGGTCTGCCGAGCCAGAGCCTGAACCGTCATCCCCAATTTACTCTTACGACTCACGACTTGGTTATGGCCGAAATTACAACAAGAGGTCTGCCGAACCAAAGCCTGAACCATCGTATCCTGTCTACTACGCTTCTCGTCCCGTTTATATCCGCCATTTCTACAAGAGATCTGCCGAACCAGAGCCTGAACCGTCGTATCCTGTCTACTACGCTCCCCGTCACGGTTATGGCCCCCATTTCTACAAGAGGTCTGCAGATCCTGAACCATCCTACTCAGTCCTCTCCTATTACGGTTACCGGCCACTCAACGCTTATAGCCACCACCTTTACTAGACTTCTGCTAATCCAAATGACACCATCTATACCTACATTTAGGCCTACGAGACACCAAACCATCTCAACAATAATTTTTCAGAATATGATGCCTACATTACAAACAATTGCAAAGATCCCATTCATCGCCAGGATTACTAACACTATGATATCCATGAGCTGAATTATAAATTTAATTATACAACAAGATCAGTGTTGCTCTGACGATTGTTATGTTCTACAACAAAGAAATATATCTATATAATGACTTTAAGTCTATTATTAATTATCATTTGTATCATTAATATCAAAGTGGTAATATGATGCTAATGCGATTCAGTGTGTTACTGGTTTGTTGACATTGGTTAGGATGCTTAATATTATAAATAATTATAATTGATTTATTTATAATTAATAACAATAGTTTAATAATTAATCATAGCGTCATTGGGAACTGCTGCCGTGGAATTGCCGCCCGACATTTTCATGATCTGCTATGGTGTAATGGTTAGTGTACTGGCTAGCTTCCTGGTTAGCCTGAGTTCAATTCTCACATAGAAGAAGAGTTTTTGTGTTATATATAACTTGAAGTTCATGTATATGTGTGATAAAATATGGGTTCGAGTTTTCCTCTAGCAAATATAATTAAGTTGGGAGTACGTATGTCTGATCTGTCACCAGTAGCTAGTGTCATTGGGAGCTGTTGTCGGGGAATTGCCGCCCGACAAGCAGTTCTTTTATTGATCTGTTTAAGAATTTGACTACAGATTCTCTGCATAGCAGAGAAGCTGAAGTCCATCAACTAATTTAGTTTACACACACACACACACACACATGCAAAAATTGTGACGATGCAAAAAATATGAGGAGGATTGAAACATAGGATGATAGTAGGAGGCTACAAGATGACCTAGATAGACTGAGTGAATAGTCCAACAAATGGCTGTTTAAGTTCAACCTGAGTAAATGCAAAGTAATAAAACTAGGCAGTGGAAACAGGAGGCCAGACACAGGATACAGAATAGGAGACGAAGTACTTAATGAAACAGACAGAGAGAAAGATCTAGGAGTTGATATCACACCAAACCTGTCTCCTGAAGCCCACTTAAAGAGAATAACGTCTGCGGCATATGCGAGACTGGCTAACATCAGAACGGCGTTCAGGAACCTGTGTAAGGAATCATTCAGAATCTTGTACACCACATATGTAAGACCAATCCTGGAGTATGCGGCCCCAGCATGGAGCCTGTACCTTGTCAAGCACAAGACGAAGCTGGAAAAAGTCCAAAGGTATGCTACTAGACTAGTCTCAGAACTAAGAGGCATGAGTTATGAGGAAAGGCTGCGGGGAATGCACCTTACGACACTGGAAGACAGAAGAGTAAGGGGGGACATGATCACAACCTACAAAATCCTCAGGGGAATCGACCGGGTAAACAAGGATGAACGATTCAACACTGGAGGGACGCGAACAAGGGGACACAGGTGGAAGCTGAGTACCCAAATGAGCCACAGAGACATTAGAAAGAACATTTTCAGTGTCAGAGTAGTTAGTAAATGGAATGCACTAGGAAGTGATGTGGTGGAGGCTGACTCCATACACAGTTTCAAATGTAGATATGATAGAGCCCAGTAGGCTCAGGAATCTGTACACCAGTTGAATGATGGTTGAGAGGCGAGACCAAAGAGCCAAAGCTCAACCCCCACAAGCACAATTAGGTGAGTACAATTAGGTGAGTACACACACACAGAGTTCGTTCGCCTGTCTGGAGAGAGTCACACGTGGTGTCCGGTCCGTGGATAACATCAATTATCTCGAGACATTGAAGTGTTACGGAGACAAGAAACATAGTTTTTTGTCACAGGAGTGTACGCAAACGCAGTGATCAAGTGTATAGTGAGCTCCTACAGCGGTAGAGCAATTAAGAAAGCAAAAATAAGGTCGAGTGGCAAGATCAGTGTGTACCGATGGGTCAGCCTAGCCACCCAGCCTAGCCAGGACTTACGATTTGCTTGCTGAGTGATGTGTTGTGAAGCGGATTGTAGCATACATAGTGATTGATCCCCCAAAGTGTGTGCACCGTTTAGGATCTTATACTAAGTGCACATAGTGGCTGACGACCAGTGAGGAAGAAAGGAACGAATGTTATACCAGGAGCACGTGGAGACAACCAGTAGCACGTGGAGACAACATTGATACCAGGTAGAGGAGAGGACAGGCGACCAACCCCGTCATAAAGACATCTTTTCAAACTCACCTAGGCGTGCTTGCTCGGGGTGAGCATAAGGTGTACTGAGTGACTTAAAATAATTAATTTAAAGTAGGTCTCAATATCTCATATATACAACTCCGTGAGTTACGTAAATTGAGACTAGAGCAACGCGCACCATCTGGCCAGGTGGGACCCCTGCGACTAGAGCGATGCGCGCCATCTGGCCAGGTGGGACCCCTGCGAATAGAACGATGCACAGCATCTGGCCAGGTGGGACCCCTGCGACTAGAACGACGCGCACCATCTGGCCAGGTGGGACCCCTGCGACTAGAACCGCGCGCACCATGTGGCCAAAGGGTTTGGGGGAATTTTCCCGGAAGTTTGGCGTGTGTCGGACGCGTGTGAGCGTCCGGTGTTTGGGTATGCGGTCAGGAGAGATGGAGGGTTATGTTGTTGGGGGTGTAGGAGAGTATGTGGGCTATGTGGTATGTGGTATAGTAAGGAATTTGAGAATATGATGATAATAGTAAATGAATATGTATGTGTGTTTGCCGTAGACTTAATCCTGCGTGTAGATAATAGTTTTGATTAAAAAGATGATAGTAAGTAAGCTATGTAGAGGCTGTGTGTAGGTGTGAGGGGTTCCAACATAGGCGGATATGTTGTTTGGGGTGGGGGATGGGTGAGGGAGGGTGAAGGAAGGGTGAGGGGAGCTTCCACTTGGCTGGAGAGTGTTTAGGGCCAGTTGTGGTTTTGTGGTTTTCTTTGAGTTATGCACACAGCCGGAAGTGAGAGGAGGGTAGGAGAGAGCAGAGTCCAGGAGGAGATGAGAGCTGCAGCAGGAGGGATGTGGTCCATTACCTTAATCGTTTTTCAATGTCTTTAGGGTGGTCTGGAGATGTTCACCCCAACAGGCCTCTCCCAACACTGCGGATTCGTTAAGGAGCGACGTTCTTACTACTGCCGGCAGGTCCACACCTGTCATCGTCAATCACTCCCACCCCTCATCCCCTCCTCACCCCATTCCATCAGGGGCCCCCCTCTCCCTCCCCTCCATTACCTTCTAGAGTGGGGCACCCCTCTCTTCCCCTTACCTTCTAGAGTGGTACAGACCAGGACCACATACCGTCACATCGACCTGAGAAGTGTCACTACATGCCACATCACTTAGTAAACTCAGTCAAAGTCAGTAGGTTAGCGTTTACTAAAAGAGGGAAACATTTTTTGGCGGGGAGCGAGCCTGAGGTGTACCATCTCTCTCTCTCTGTCTCTCTCTCTCTCTCTCCTGACACTCACACTGGGACATAGCAAAGGCGTGCCATGAGCACAACATACAAATTCCATCAAGAACTACCTACATGTTGCTAAACAGTCCAATCTCACACAAGGCAGTTATATGGGCAGTAAAGGCTTGCAGAGATGCACAAAGGAGTCCAGGACTGAACCCCACAATTCACATTTAGCTAAGCAAGTTACAATCATGACGAGCTAGTTACAAAATTGAATATAAGTCAACACATCCTCACGGGAGACGTGATCTCTACCTACAAATTGTTCTTGTTAACTGTGATCGCAACATCTGCTGCCCAAATAAATATCATTGAAATGTATGCGTGTCTACTCAATCTCCTTCACCTCTTCTTCCTACACCCATTACTGCTGTGCAGACCTTGTAACACACAACGGCGTTATCATAGCAAGTAAGACAATGTCACAGAATGTTCAAGACTCCTGAATGAGTGAAACAGCAATCCGTCTCGTTAGGGGTCTAACCTTCGTGGTGGTTTAAGGCATAGTGAGATGGACGAGGTACTGGGATGACCTTACCCTCTCCCCATCAACCCCCACCAAACCCCTACCCCCCTCCCACCCCCCCTTCCAAACCCAAACCATTAAGCATCACTTCACCCTTCCCAGACCGGATGTTCTGTGCAAAGCCTTTAGTATTATTTCTAGTCATATGTATAACCTTGTATCGCAACGTGACCAACATGGTATCATCATTCTTTGCTCAAATAGCATTTTTTAAGAATATCGAGAGTCATAAGCACGTGACAATGTAAAATTAAAATGTGCAAAGATGATTCGGAGTGCTATTTAGTAGAGAAATGATACAAAATTGTGTTTATTGACTAGTGAGAGCCCGTAGCATGTATGGTGTTTGCTATTGCGGTCCTTAACCTAGTCAAGCCATAGACAGACAGACAACAACAATAGGTAGTGGCCCTTGCGTCTATTTGATTTGATAGAAGAAAAAAATGAAGACTAGTAGTCCCTGTTTTTTAAGATGAAAAACTTTTAACTATAAAAATGTTTGACTGAGTGACTGACTGACTGCTTTTCTGGTCAGGTCTGCAGGTCTGCAAGAAATAATAGTAATGTAGGTAGGGAACATGTCTCCTCGGCTCTTTTATCTTCCACAAAGCCTTTCCTCCTATCTCAACCCTATTAGTTCATGCTCTCGTGTTTCACTTTTTGTTAAAACTAAATCTACACACGCGATATGAAATGTGAAAAAAAATCTTACATTATGCTATGTTAACAGTGCTTGAGTAAAATTATTAGGAGTGCTAGGGTACTGTTGCACACAGTCATCTCGCTAAGGCGGGTCGGTGACAGAATTGTCAAAATGATGTACCTTGCATACATCAGATCTTTAGTGGTTTATGCTGCACTTCTGCTTGTTTTGATGACTGAAAGAGCTTTGATGATACGAATAGTAATTGCTGACATGGATGATGATAGTAGTATTTAATTTAAGATGGAAAACTTTAAATTAAACTAAAAAAATGAGCATGCATGAAGTGATTCCCACGTTCAGTAAAAACGTACTGAGTTGTAAACTGAATGTCTAAGACACCCAATACGTTGTTGATGATGATAGTAGTATTTATTTTAAGATGGAAAACTTTAAACTAAACTAAAAAATGAGCATGCATGAAGTGATTCCCACGTTCAGTAAAAACGTACTGAGTTGTAAACTGAATGTCTAAGACACCCAATACGTTGTTGATGATGATGATGATAGTAGTATTTAATTTAAGATGGAAAACTTT